TTTTTTTTAATGTAAGGGTGCAATATTTCTTTAGTAAGTTTTAATACTAATTGACTTTCTCTTATCCTATTGATGAAGTTATAGAATTATTTTTCAAGTTATATAATAAATATCTTATTTATCTGCATTACTGGTAAATTTTTTTTAATTAGGCCACACAAATATAATATCTTGGTTTTCATAACATGAAACTTTTAAACAGACCAGGCCAGCAGGCTTTTTTTTTTTTTTTATTAAATTTCATATATAAAAATTTATAAAAATTTTTTTCAAAATTCCACCCGGTTATTAAAACATATAAAAAAGAATCTTTTTGCAAGTTTTTAAATTTTGACCCGGCCGAGTTATGAAAACCAATTAATTAATTTTACATGACCTTAAATGTAACTTTAACTCTTTCTTTTTTGCTTTTTTGATGATTTATTCAAACTTGAACTTGTAAAAGGACATACATCATTATAAAATTTCCATTTAAATTTAGTTATAATTTTTAGTCAATAATTATCTAAATTTTAACAAAATTAAAAACTTACATGATTTATAATTACTGAAATCTTTTATTATATTTAAATTTCAATATACTATATCAGTGTATCATGTTTAATGAAAGAACAAAATAAAAAATATAATTATATAAATAAAAAATAAATTTCTTTTCTGATACTAAACATCAAAATTGGTTTTGATACAAACATATCAAACTTTTTAAATAATAAACTTTTAGTATTTAAATAAAACCAAACATAAAACCGCCATAAATAAATACGAGTGTAAAACCATTGCTTGTGCTGATGGATGGAATTGTATTGTAATAAGATAATTTGTAAAAAAAACCTTCCTATTTTTAGTAACATAATGCACAAAGTGACTTAACAAAAATTGATCAAATATCGATATCAAATTAACTCTACTCAATAAAATATAAATTTGGGATTAAAAAGGCTAGTTATTATGCATGGTGATTCTAGTATATAGATTGCTAGCTATTAATGGCATCCATTACTTCTTTTGTATTTATGTGTTTTCTAGTATAAATTAAATCTGCATGTTGTGATGTAATGGTTGTAATGGTTGTTGATGTTTTTATGATTCTATCAGCTTCCATAAATTTATTTTTAATATCAATTTTTGAACTTTTGTAATAATCTAAACGATTCAAAAAACCAAGAAGCAATTCGGGACTTAATTTATCAGGATCTTCATCATCATCATCATCATCATCATCATCAGATTCATCCTCATAATCACTATATTTTTCCTCAAAATCACTATTATTTTCATTATAGTCACTATATTTTTCATCATAGTCATTATGTTCTTTCTCATAATAACGATATTCTTCTTCATAATCACTATGATTTTTATCATAAATGTCATTATTTTGATCATCTTTACCTCCAACATAAGGATCATCATTTTGATCATCTTTACCTCCAACAGCTTCATAAATATCTTTACCTCCAACAGCTTCATAAATATCTTTACCTCCAACAGCTTCATAAATATCTTTACCTCCAACGGCTTTATAAATATCTTTACCTCC